TCAAAAAAACAAATCATTTTTCCCTTCCAGTAATTGATTTTTGATCAAAATTCTCAGAGAAGAATGATCTGATGGAGAATATTTCACTGTCTGGATTCTAACGGAAATTATCGATCGTAAAAAAGTTTTCTGTCCAATATTGATGATAGAAAGAGAAACATTCGCTCATTTGAAGAAAGACGAAAGACGAATTCATTTTGTCAATATCTAATGGAGATGTGACATTACCATATCCTAGTGTCTGATTGTTCTGAAAATATATTTGAATAAATTGATTAAGAGTCTAATGAATGAGTGAGAAAATAGTCCAACATTCTTCACTACGAAACATCAAATCCAACTCTACTCATTTCAAATGGTGATGATGTCTGAAATTTTTAAGCGCATCTGTCATTATCAAATGGATGAGATAATGAAGAACTTCGAACAATGCAAAGATGTCAGAAGAAGAAGTGTTGAGAAGAAATGTTAGAGAAACTACTTCTAAAGTATTTCAATGAGATATATTTTGTAACTCTGCAGAGATAAGTATCGATGATTGATTGAAATGGAAGAAATCATCTTAGATAAAGAGACAGAATCGACATTTTTCTTTATTTCATCCGATTCTCTTCTCTTCATCATTCAAATTCATTGAAAAGCAGATCAATTCGAATGATCTTTGAGAAGAAATCTTTTGCTTTGTTCCTCACAGAGACCAACAATGAACAGCTCAAAAGCATCGGACAAGCAATGGATTTGTATCAAATTGACACTCTTGAGAATAGAACAGGTCTGGAAACATCTCGCTACTCTATTCAAATCTTTGAAATTAAACAAAAAAAAAAACTTCAACTGATCTGGGTGTAGGTGTGAGGGTGTGGATGAGGATGACGAGACGAGTATCATTCTCACGCTGAAACCCACACCCTCACCTTTGAGCACAGATCGAAACACGTCGTAGTTATGCTTCACTCACCCTCACTCGCAAGATGATAAGTGAAAGTTTTTTGTACTCATTTTCCTAATTTATCTAGTTTTGCAATCAAGTCATCCATTTTCTTGCGATCAACTGCATTTGTTTGTGGATTACAGTATTCAGCAAATTGCTGTTCTGCTTCGACTACAGACTCATGACCAGAATAAGCTCGATGCACTTCGATGGCTTTTTGAAAATATCCCATTGCTTCGTCGTAATGCTTGGAATTCGCCAGATAAACTCCATATGCCAAATATACTTTATGAAAACTTAGATGTGTTGGTGGAAGTGATCTGGAATAAATAGCTAGAGCGTTTTCATAATACTCTGATACTTTTTCAAACTCTTCTAATCTTAGATAAGTAAAACCAATTCTATAATAGCAATCACCGATCAGAGGATTTGTTGTTGATTCAGATCCGAGTGCTTTTTGCAGTGCGATTTGATAATTAATTAAGGCATCGTCAAAACGAACTTGTTCAGAAAAAATGTCACCAATTCGAATATGATGCTGAATAAATTTCGTAGCTGTCATATGACCTGTCTCTTCAAGCAGTTTGAAATGACGCAAGCAATAGTCTAATCTTTGATCAAGATTGTTTGTTAAGCTGGCCGCTGAGTTATACAAGTTCGCTAATTCATTTGTATCAGTAGGAGGTGAATGATTAAGTCTATTTTCAATCCATTCTAAACGATTTTGATCAATGTCTGATCCTTTCGACAAGCGTTCAACAGGATTCACGAAACTTTGAAATACTGATAGAGTCTGTCTAGAAGTGATCGTATCTTCATCCACTAAGTCTACCCAGCGTTCAAATGCTATTTTTAGTGCATCATCAAATTGATGAATATAAACCATAAGTTGAACAAATTTGAGCATATTTTCATGGATACCAATGACATGAGAATCCTCAGGTGATTTTGTCCTTGCTTGTTCGAATAATGCAGAAAATTCATGATTTTCCAGAAATTTATGACGAACATAATTTCCGAGTTGTCGAAGTTGCTGGTCATCGTCTGCCGTCATTTTTAACTGTATATTCCAAACACCATCATCGAATTCTTTCATTTCCCCAATTCGAAATATAGCAGGTACTGAGAATAAGATTTCGCCTTCTCTCATAGAACTCAAATGATCGATAGAGGCA